CTTCCTGGTTCATTCACATAAAATTTGCTCATCATCAACGGATTTTTTTTATAAAGCTGCTCAAGCGTGTAAAGGGAAAATAAACATATATGATTATAGAATAGTTTTCACTGCTTCCAATGAATGAATGGATGAATGAAGAATGATAATAATAAATGGTAGTCTGTCCAAAGGCAGGTCCTTGGTGCGAGAGCCACCACAAATAAATGATTCCCTTACCCTTCGTTGTCTATGATTCCCATTACCACTATTTCCCCCCCCCCCAAACTTTTTGTGTTTTCGTTTCTGGAACTTCTGCTTCCATGCTTCTTGATCCTGCGCTTCAGCTTTCACTTCCCTGTATTTTCTCTTCTCGCGTAAGTCGTCAATCGTCTGCATTCTTCTTCCTCCCATTCTTTTCAGTCCTTCTATTTTACCCTCAACGACGTCGTGCAGGAGATATTCTTTTTGCAGAACGGAACCGATTCAGTTTCCTTTTCTTTTGAGAATTGTGTTCAGTAGAGTCCTTTCTTCGACCACTCTTCTCAAAACTTCTTCATTTCTTAACTTCTCTTCATTTGTTATCTTGTATGAAGTATAATACAATTAAATATAGTGTAATTTTACCATATTTTTATCAAAGACGACTGTTCTACCTGCGGCTAGTTACGTTGGTGTCACCGGAGGTGAAAGTGTTAAGCAATCTATCAGGTTTCATCTTACACAACAGAATGCAATATTGCAAGAAATCTGACAACAAAATCCATGTAAATATTGTCAATTTATGTATCAGAAACACTAACGATCTTAATAGACAGGAAAAGGTCTTCATTAATAGCAACACTAACGCTCTTAATAACAAAAGGTTTTTATTAACAGCAACTTTATCGTATTATTTGGCAAATCATTTGATCTAATTTTGGATGCAAACTGTTGATCTGTGAACTGTTATATTACTGAAAAGGAGTTTCTCGAAAACTGAATCCATTACATGCATTACACATATTTTAATGATTTTTTTTAATGATCTCATTTTAATGAACTATTGCTAGTAATCATTTTGATCTCTATTTTATCAATGTTGTATCACCAATTTTCTACTCTTTTTACTATAGTTTTACTTTACTTTTACCACTCGTTTTATTATAGTTATATTCCGACCTAAATCTCAAAAAATGATAAAACATGCCAACTTTCATACAGTCAATGAAAGTATCTACAAAATATGAATTAAATAAACAATCAATATTTTTTGTTGTTGAAAAAAAACAAGAATTATAGCTATATATATTAATTAGCACAATTCAAGAGTAGATTTTGTTAAGAAAAATAAGGTATTGGAACCAGATGTTTAACAATGGTAAATGTAAAACAATTTTGACTGTCTGAATATAATCTGAGCCCATAATTCACATTGCATAAAGTATTGGCAATATAAATATGTAAATTGTGCTTGATCACGTTTTAAGTATAGGGTGGCCCATTTAAAAATTGGAATTTATCGATAGCAACTTGCCTATAGGCCACACCGTGCAGAATTCGAAGTTGTGATATATGGGAAAAAACTTAGAATTTTGAGACCTTTCTAACGATGTATAATACTTTATATGTTTTCTTTACAGTAGTATCTAAACCGGACGATCACTATACCACTAGGACCACTAGGTGGACCACCCTATATAATAAAAACTGAACTATAATGATAAATGGTTATTCTAATAAGTAATTTAGTTACTGTTGTAATATATAAGTTATATGCCTTATATATGTATGTTTATGTTTGTATGTATGTATGTGTGTATATCTATGTATTTGGGTGCACCAAGAGACTACTGTGTGCATTTTACTTTTATGAGCCGATAACTCCAGTCCCACGCGCAATTAAATGATTTTATTGCCAAGACCAGCCAACACGTTACGTTGCGTTACGTGACAATTTTCACATAAAAATTTATGGAAGAGGATTTCACATTTCTAGTACTGAACCATAATCAAAAATTTCATTAATCCGCAAGTTTGACTTATCAGAAGACATGTCATTATCGACCATCAACCATCCTAATTTCTAACATTTTTTTCTCATATCTGAACAGCAATCAGAACCTTACGTCCATGAGCTGTTGGGCTGAAGCATCTCCGAATTTTAGATGGTAATCCAATGGTTAATCCATCCATATTTGATGATTTTATTCTTAGAATTAATCTAATAGGGCTGACTTTTTATTAGTGCAGCAATACTGGGCAAGGGCTACTTTAACTTGGAACTATATTGCTATCTATATATCCAAGTGAAACCGTTGACACTACTGCTTGACCACAGGCAGCTCGGAGCGGATCTCGAACCCGGACCCTCGGAATCAAGACCCGTCGCTCTTAACCGCTTACCTACGGGCGAGCCCTATTTCTAATATGAAATGGGAAGATTACGATTTTTTTCTGCCACCAGGCAATTCTAAAAGTTTCCAGAATAATATCAAGATGGAACTATTGCCTCTTCCAAAATCGTGGAACACCTAATATTTTGAACTAACTTCTTTAGTTGTGGCCTGAATTTTAACGATGAACCCGAATTTGATCCAGAAGCTTTACAATATATTAACTACTATCTAAAATGTCAGTAAAAATACAAAAATAATACTAGGACTTTACTAAATAAGCAAGAATTAACTAATTAAGATGAAAAATAGCAAATTATTTGTCCATCGCTAGGGATTGACTATTCTGTTGTCATCAGATTCGCCATCTCTATTTTAAATACAAGAAAAATATTCATCGTTTTTTATCGATTTTTATAAGATATATTAAATCTTTAATACCAACCATATTTTGCAACAATTTGCTGTGTTATATTGATATTTATTCATCATTATCATGTACCAGACTGATATCCTATCGAGACTTTTGTATCAACGATAAAAAGATTAATAAAAGCAATAGATATATGCAAGAGCCAAATGATCGTCAAAACAAATTAGACAAGATCTAGACATCTGCAACTAATCTACTAATTTAATACAAATACAAATAAAACATTATATTATATTTTTTCCAGAGTATCTCCAACTAGTCTTGAAAAAATGTCCAATAATGTATACAGGAGTTGCCTTGACTTATGGTAAGAAATTGGTCTAGCAACCATTGATTCTGGGTTCTATGCCTGTTCTAATCAAGCTAAAGTGATATTAGATTTTCATTAAAGATCCAAAATATGGTAAATAAAATTATAATCGAAAGGTTATTATATACCCAAGGGCTATTGCTGAATTATGCTCATAAATATTACATTAAAAATATAACAAAAATCTCATTAGATAGAGAATCACTTGCATGGTTGCATTTTAAAAGCACTGCCTTTTTAATCTATTTTTTCTTGGCTTCATATTATATTACTATCATTTTAATAAAAATGACTACAAACGTTATATTCATAAACATAAAATTAGGTACTAAATTAGGAAATCAAATTCTGCAAAAAGCCGCAGAAGTGATAATATTTTTATTATCACCATTAGTCTCCAAAAAATTTCCGACGGTTTAGTTGCTTTAACTCTAGGTAAAAAGTTGGACTAGCAACCACTGATTCTGTTATAATCAAGCTGAGGTGATATCAGATTTTCACTAGATATCGAAAATGTGATAAGTAAAAATAGCACTCCGAGGGCTATTGCTGGATTATGCTCATGAGTATTACATTAAAAATTTAACAAAAATCTCATGTAGATAATCATTTGCATGGTTGCGTTTTAATAGCACTGCGGCACTGGGCTGTCTTTTTAATCTATTTTTTTTTTAATCATATTATACTATCATCACACAGTAATTTGTTAATGTTTATCATTTTTTTACGGAAATTGACTACAAATATTATATTCATGAATATAATATTACTCATTGACAGTTGTACCATGGATACTAAATATAAAATAAAGTTCTGCAAAAAGCCGCAGAAGTGATAATATTTTTATTATCTCCAACTAGTCTCCAAAAAAATTCCAATCATTTAGTTGCCTTGACTCTTGGTAAGAAGTTGGTCTAACAAACACTGATTCTGGGTTTTATGCCTGTTCTAATCAAGCTGAAGAGATATCAGATTTTCAATACATATCCAAAATATGATAAATAAAAATAGCCTTTCGAGGAGTATTGCTAGAATATGCTCATAAGTATTACATTAAAAATCTATGGAAAGTCTCAGATAGAGAATTACTTGCATGGTTGCATTTTAATAACAATATTAGATTGCCCGTTTAAATTATTTAATAATTTAACGTAGCATATTATATTATCGGGGGTCATTGACGGCTCATTTGTAAAAAATTTGCTTACTTATAGCTGACATGAGATAAATAATGTAATAATCTGACATAGTTGTACCACGATCCCTTAGAAATAAAATTCTGCAAAAAGCCGCAGAAGTGATAATATTTTAGTCATTAATATGAATCAAAGTCACGATATTTTGACAATGTGAACAGGATGCATAATGAAATTTAATATATTTAAAAAATGAATCACTAGATGCGATGTTTGATTATACTCCAGTTGTAGAGTGAATGTTCATGTTACACACATGATTCATCAACGACTGAGCCGTCCTTGATAATGAACGGACCAAACCGTGCAGTTGCTTACTGACATCATGCGACGTATTTAATCGCAAAAATAAAATTTCGAGGAAACGCACAAAATATTTTAAAAAATTCAAGTATAAATAAATTTAACAAATTTGAAAAAATATATATTTCAATCTGATGTTAACATAATTGTTACAAAGTTTTGACAACCCGATATATATTGACCAAACATAGCAATATGATTACAAAAGAATGAGACAACATAAAATGAGTAGTGCTAGTAGTGCATGACCAGCAACAGTCAAACGTTTTATATGAAAAACCATATTACTTTGCCATTTATTTGAATGAGTATTAATATCAAAATAATTTTATTTTGGTATCAGTTTGCACAAAACGCAGTTTTGAACTGAGAAATTTGTGGTTGCAAGATAAAGGCCCTCCCACTTGAACAAAACTGAACGTCATGTCGAAACAAGACAAAATTGATTATGGATTATATTCTCTTCTAGTTGAAACCGAAAAAACCTTATAAAAAAGTTATAATTAACCCACTTTTTCAAACAATCTTAAGTTATCTTATAAATAATTTTTTATATCAAAAAACATGATTTTTTTGAAGTACAAAAAAATAGGTAAATTTTTCCACTTGTTCTAGATTTTTTTTTTTTTACTAAATTTTACTAAATCTTTAACGAAACTATGAATTTGTTTTGTTTTTTTGTTTCGGATGGAAATTGTGACCTGCGCCTGCGCTTTGGAAAGATGCTTGTACCCGGCATATATTTTAATGAAAAATTTTGAGGAAAATGTTGAAATATATAACAATAAAACCTGAAAGTTTCGTATCGAATAAATATTTATTTCCTTTCATAAAAATTCCTTAAAAAAGCTATTTTTTGAAGGCTCTAAGCAGATATTTCCCTTAATCTAGTGATTCGAGAAGGTAACCCAGTGGTTAACCATCATCTTTCTGTTGAGTGATCATAAATAATAGCCCGGAATATTTTTTACTTTTTTATACATCACATGTATCAAAGACTTTCAATCTTAAGCAAAATTCTGATACCACTACTACTCTTGATATCAAGCTGACCAAAGTGGATACCAAACCACCCAAGTGATTTCACAAGTTCTTATCATAAAGCCATAGCCAAGCTCACTAGATAAAAATTGAAATATAATCATAATTAGACGATCATTAGAGTGATTCAAATAAAATATAGAGACTTCATTCATAACATAAGTGG